AGGAAGTCCTAGGATCTTATTAAAGAAGCGTACTATCCCCTTAATCCCGAAGACGTCTTTACTATATAGAAGCTTAAGGCTTTTAAGGTTTATTCTTTTAACGGTATTCTGTTTAATAAAAGTATCCCTAATAAAGACGCCTACTAAAAAAAGAATATCCTCGTAGAAATTAAAAAGAAAGACTAAGAGCTAGAATATAAGGGGTTTATTAGCCTAATTAAACTAAAGGTTTCTAAAATCATACCCCGTTCGTGCCTTATACCCGAAAGACTTAATACTATCCTAAAGACCGTCGACTACTTAATCCCTAAGGAAACGGAGCTACGAATAAAGGTCCTCCTAAACCGCGAGGTAGCTATTACGTGGGATTAAACTAAGTAGGGCCGCCTTCACGAATAAGTAGCCCCTTTATAGAAGATTCGGGCGGTTACTTATAAGGCGTAGTAAGCGAAAGGGATCCCTATCCCTAAGGCTCTAAAGTCTATAATCGTGCAGATAATAAAGGACCGCCTTAAGAAAGGTATAATCGAGGAGAGCTATATAGCCTATTATAGCCCCTGGGTCCTAGTTAAGAAAAAGGACGGTAATATACGGCTTATTAACTCGGCTACTAAGATTAACGTAATAACCCTTGAATATACATTTATACTACCTAAGGCCGATAACGTCTCCGAGGATTTCGCTATATATAAGCTCATATCCCTCTTAGACCTTTTCTCCCGGCTACGATTAGGTTACCCTTAATAAGAAATCTTAAGACCTAACTACCCTTATAACTATTATTAGACGCTTTACTATATATACCCTTCCTTAGGGGGCTATTAACTTAGTGGCTTAGTTTATACATATTATAACCCGTATCCTTTACGACCGTATTCCCTAATACTATAAAATAATACTATAAACCCTTTATTAACGATATTATAGTAAAAAGACTAATAACTACCTATAAAGATACCCTAATTAGACCTAGAATTCGCCGTTTTACAGCTAAGTATATCGCTAATATTGATAAAGTGCTTCTTAATATAGAGTTAGCTAAAGGCATTATCGTAGGTATTAAAAGCTAGTGGTATTAGAAAGCGGCTATTATCGTAGGCTATATTTATAGCACTAATAGTTATTCCCCTAAGGAGGCTAAGATTATAAAGGTCCGAGAGTAGGAGAGGTATAGTATAGTTTCTAATATTTATTCGTTCCTCGGTCTCTCTACTTTTTACTAAGTCTAGATCCATAAGTTCGCTATTATCGCTAAACTCCTAACCGATCTATTACGGAAGAACACTGCCTTTAAGTAGGTGGAGCCCTAATACTATACTATAAACGCCCTTAAGAAAGCTCTTACTACTACCCCTATCCTAATCACTATCTAGTACGATAAAGGCGTAGGTGTGATGGCTTATCAAAAGTTATTCACGTATTAAGGCCGAAAATATAGATTATTCGAACTAAAGAAGGAAAGGAGGAAGGAAAAGCCTACGCGGTATATAGGCGGCTAAGTCTATAAAGGATCGCACGGGCCTCGCTAGGAGGTTCGTGCTTCTTAGTCCTGGCTATTACCGGGGATTATTTCGTGGGCTATAGCCCGTAATACACCCCCCCCCCCCGCCGGGAGCGAGGTCGCGGTTATATCGTGGTTATCCGGTTATAACCTCGTATTACCCTAGCCTCCCCGCGTATAATCTAAACATAGCCTCCTTTATTCGATTCCCTTAAAGGCTCCCTCTTTACGTAGGAATTAGGTGATATCGTGGGATTAAGTTAGCTCGTTATTAGATTCGAAAATGCGTACCGTATAACCTAATTAACGGTCTACCTAGGCGAGGAATTCTATAGTTATTACGAGGATATCTGCTACTAGCTTACTCTTTATAACGTAGGTAGCTATAGAACTACTATAACGGTCGGTGAAAAACATAAACCTCGAGTCCCTATCGGATATTCGGTTAAAATCCGTGAAATCAATTGCCCACCGTTCCCCTACGTAGGTTAATACTATATAAGGGTGCCTGCTAATATACCGTTTTATCTTTACGAGCTTATATACCACGTAGTCAATAGTTATTAGTCCCTTAATCTTAACCTCCTACGTCTGCTCTTCTAGGTGTCTAAGCGGCTTAGAGCCAGCTTGCCCTAGCCGTAGATACTATAAGATGCCCTCCGTGGTGCTTAGATATCGTATTATCGATTTTCGAGTGGAAGAAGAGCCTAGAAAAGCAGCCGTAGATTAGTCAGAGGGTATATATTTAATAACGGTTTAATCGAAATAGTAACTTAGCTAGTATAGTATAGTTCTATCGGCATATTAAAGGCAGTTATTTAGTGGCTTCTAATTCTACTAGTATCCTCGAAGATATAGGCGTTAGTTAGAAATTAAATTATAGGCAAAATCCTTATAGTATATAACGTTTAAGAGTCTGAAATCGAGGCCTTCTATTAGTCCGTTTAGTCTTACGGTCACGTTATCGTAACCTTTAATAGGCAGAGACGAACTGCCTATAACCACGTAGTCTTTTTACGTAGCGGGTATAAAATTAGAAAAACGGGAATAATAGTTAAAAATATAAATAGTAGTACCGAAATCGAGGATAGCAGAGGCCCGAAGAGGGTAACTAGTAGCAGTGCCCGCCGTAAATATAGTAGCGTAGGAGACGCCGCTACTGATATTACTATAGTCGAGTCACGCCTCTTTAAGCTATATAGAGTCCCGGCTTATATCCTTCTTCACCTTTTTTACGGCGCGTAGTTCTTCTATTTCCGCGCATAGTGCGGGATCGTATTTAAGGATCCGTTAGACGGTTATTTTAGTGCTCTCGAAGGGCGTCCAGTCGTTATTTACCGTATCCGGGAATAGATAGAAGTAGTCGTTAAGATCGTGACTAGGTATCGTATACACGTGGCAGTGCACCCCTTATTTAAAGGCGGATTAGCGTCTTTTAGAAGAGGAACGATTAGTTAAAGTAATAGGTATGGCTATAGATACCGCGGTAGAGGAATTCTTAGCTTTATTCTTCCTATAGCCACCCTTCTTAGGCTTAGCCGTAGTACCTAAGATATATTCGCCCTTTTCGCTTCCGGTATATAGTATAGAAAATACTATAGCGCGGTGGCTACCGCGTTTTTCTTAGTCTTTAAGTCTAGTCTCGATATATCGTTAACTAAGGGTATAAAGGTCTTCGGGGAGCAGTACTTTCTTATTTAAAAGGCGTCCCTCCGCTTTAGTCTAATCGCGACCAGCGATTAAGCGTATACCTCTAAAGAAGTCTGCCATCTAGATATACGTTACGGGCCTCGATTAGACCTCTTTAAGGCATACTAATAGCTCCTACTATCTAGATAACTACTTCTATAGCTTCTTTAGGGTTGTTAGCACTACGTAGACGTGTTCGTTATAGTCTTCGTAGGTGTTAACGCGGCGGGTAGTTATATAAAGAGTAGTATCGCGTCGAAAGACTTTAAACACCTCTTTAGGCGTTAGATTACATAATAGTAGCTTATAGCTATTATCGATAGTCTTAGTCTACTAGCTTAAAACGGCTTTAATACTCTTTATATACCTAGCGTAGTTATCGCTCTGTATTTTCTAGCGTTATATCGCCGAGTTGTAGGCGCGCTGCCTAGTGGGTATTAGATCTAACCACTACGAGGGCGTAGCTTCTGCTTATAGAGTTACGTGCGACGGCTAGAAGGTAGCGTAGGAGGGTAAAACAGGCTTTAAGGAGGGGGAATAGGATTATCAGGGCGTAGATATTCCTAGACTTCGTTATTAATAGCCATAGCTTTATAGTGCTTGCTCTAGAGCTCCTAATCGCGATAGGTTTTATAGATTATAGGCTTATATTCCGATATCTTAATGGTTAATAGACACGCTATATCGGCGCGGCTAGATAGCTTTTTAATCGGTAGTAGTAAAGGTAATAGGGTAGGTAATTCACTTAGTAAGTAAGACTCTTAAGTATTAAATAAAGCGTAGTTAAAATCGTTATAAAATAGGTTAAGATTAATTAAGGTAATTATGTACTATTTAAACTGTCTTAGACCGTCAGGGAAACGCTGCCACCGTATTTTATATAGTGCAGATTCTGTAAGCGTCTACCCGGATTATACTCTTAGCAATCCGGCCCGTTATGTAATCGAAAAGACTATAGTCTATTCGACAAAGGCCACTAATAAGCGTTGTTAAGGTGCCCTTACCGTAATAATAGCAGAGAGAGGAGCTTTTCCCCTAAGCTAGAGCTTAAAATATAGATCGCGGAGTATAGGATTAACTAAGTGATATGCCCTAACTAGGCATATATCTGGCTAGCCAGTACTCTTAGACCTAGGAGCCAGGCTTTTCTAAAGGGGTGACCTTAGGGTGCCATAAAGGGTAGTAAAATAAGATATCTTCTCTAAACTAAGGGGGCGCGCCCCTAGAACTTAAGTATTCCACGGGTAAACCCCGTGGAAACCTCGGATTCTATATATAGGAACTCGGGTATAACCCGGAGAAGCTATAGTATACACTAAAGGTATTTATAGTATACCCTATACATACTATAGCTTTTATTATAGTACGCCTATAGTACGCCCGTGGTACGCCCTAGTATTCCTGGTAGAATCTAGGGCGTATTAATTACCCCGGGCGATAAAGCCCTGCGTCCCGCGGGCTTCCCCCGGTAACTATAATAGCCTTACTTAAGGCGTATCCCGGTTATACTAGTAAACCGTGGTGTAGTTAGGAGATAATAGAAAGGAAAGTGAAAAGTAGTTACCGATAGCGCCTTAATAGCGGCCGCCGATATTATTACCATATAAAATACTATAGGCCCTTGGTTATAATAGGTGGACGCGGCGGGAAAGGAATAGGATACGCCGGGAAAGTCCCGGCTAGGAAAAGCGTCAAAAACATATAAAGTACAAGGTAATGTTACAATAAAAGCAAATAATAATGGTAATAATACAGTTCAACAGAATGACATTAATTGGTCAAAACGTATTCTAGGGAATGAAGCTCTTACTCATATAAATATAAATACAAAAATAGAGCTTTTTAATCCTATAACTATACCAGATAAAAGACCACTATCTACAAAACTTATAAATAAATTTCTTATATTATAATATTCTGAAGACATTATTCATTCAATATCAAAAATATAAGCTCATAAATTATTGATTAAATCAAATCAGTATATTAGATCAAACCCTGTTAAGTATCCACCTAAAAATAAAATACTAGTTAATATACACATTAATAAAATACTTCCGTATTCAGCTAAGAAAAAGAATACAAATATTACTGCAGCGTGTTCTGTCATAAATCCGCTAACTAATTCTGACTCAGCCTCTGCTAAATCAAACGGAGCTCTATTTGTTTCAGCTACAGAACCTATAAAGAATATTAAGAATACAGGGAAGATAGGTAATAATAACCATACTGCTTTTTGAGCTTGGATATTTATATTTAAATTAAGACTACTTGTAATCATTATTATTAATAATATAGCTGAACTTAAAACAAGTTCATAACTAATTAATTGAGCTGTACTTCTAAGAGAACCTAAAAAAGCATATTTACTATTAGCACTTCATCCTGCTAATAATATACCATAAGTAGCTAAAGCAGATACAGCTAACATATATAATATACCTAATTCCATATCATTTAAAACTAAACCAGGTCCATATGGTATTAATCCATAACCTAATAATGCAAAAATTAAAGTAATTACAGGACCTAAAAAGAATAATATAGTATTAGCTTGCGTAGGTGCTACATATTCTTTTAATATTAATTTCAATGCATCAGCAAAAGCTTGAAGTAATCCATAATATCCTACTGCATTAGGACCTAATCTTCTTTGCATACTTGCCATAGTTTTTCTTTCTGCTACTGTTACAAAAGCTACTGCTAATAAAGCAGGTAATATTAAGAATATTACTTCTAGTATTGATGTTAAAGTTGATGTATAGTACATTTTTTTTTTATAAAAATATTATATTTTAAGTATGATTACTTTATATTAAAGCAAGTATTAAAATTAAGTATATTTATATTAATACAAAACTTTATATAAAAGGATTTTTACATTAAAATAAGATCCTAATATTAGGCAAACAAATTATTATTTAAAAATAATAAATTAAAAATTTACTATTTCAAGTCTTATTTTAGATTCGAACTAAAATTAGAATATTAGAAGTATTCTGTTCTGCCATTGAACTAATAAGACGAATTTTTATTTAAAAATCCTAGTCTAAAGTGATATTTATATAACAACAGAGAATATGGGATTCGAACCCATGAAGAAATAAATTCTTAGTAAAACTCAAAGCTACCGCCTTAAACCGCTCGGCCAATTCTCTTTAATTCTTTCAAGAATCGAACTTGAATGTCATTCTTATCAAAAATGCACTTTAC